TGTGTGTGATATTGTGCCAATCCTTGGATTCAAATATTTCTGGTCGTCCAGATCTTTCCTTATTTTTAATATTCCCCTCTTTTTTGGATTTTTCTACTATTTTTTGAATATTAGAAGTATTTTTATTGTGTATTATTCCAATTTTCCTCTGTCATTTTTTTTTTTTTTCTTTATATAGTTTTATAATAACAACTTTCAACGTTTGTGATAGTTCCTTGACGGGCGGCTCCATGATCAAAATGTGATTACAATTACCGATGAAATTTAATGAAAACTTTGGAAAATTATTATTTTATAAAAAAAAAAACTAACTATTGTTTCAAAAACGTATGAACACTGTGTATTAATCGAAACCATACTGAAATGGTAAATTGCATACATATTTATGTGATGTGATTTTCGCTTTTTACYGAGAAAATCTAACGATTCTTAAAAACGGAATATGTCAATGATATCAATCTGCCATATTCGTGAAGGYAATAKTATGAGTAATTGTTTYTGTAAAAAACACAAARTATATATTTTTTTATTTTGCAAATAATTTGACTTTTCTAYGCTAATGCATATTATATATAGTGCATACTTRTTTTTGTGCTACACTGTATGYTTAAATGATAGATTTGAGCAATTGTGAAGAAAAGATTAGAAATTTSATAATTTTCGTTTACTGTTATTATGATTCACTATAAATATATACTTATATGTATGTAACACTCTTATTATGCTTCCGAGCAGATGAATTGAAACCGCAAAGACCACAGTGAAAAGTAAGTACTATATGATTCTTACGCGCCACTTGACTACTTGGAAATGCGCGTAAATTCCAAGAATAAAAACGTTTTCATGCACCCATTGTTTCGTATTGTTAAATATTATTATATTATTTTACACAATATGAAAGCAATGCATATTTACACATACTCATTAGCATACGCGGTGATTAATCAAATCGTTATGAGTGCGAGTGCACACCAATAACAAGTCGCGAGCACAAGCAATAAAACGTGCCCCAAGAAATTCAAAGCCCAATGCACCCAATAAGTCTAATCCACGATCGGCGCTACCAGCGCTGATGATTAACCAACGACCGCAAAAGGCGAAAGGGATCAGCGCACGATAATGAGCTGCCTTATGCTGTATCGCCTTACTCCGTTCTCGGCAAAGCCAATTCCGATGATGTTGTTTACGATCTTATTATGTGAATAATGCGAAAAAAAACCAAAAAAAAAAAAAAAAAATGCGAAGGTCTAGCTTTATTGCCGGCTGAGTTCTTTATTTCAATATTTGCTTTTGTCATTCTTAGGTGTTCACTGGATTGTTTCTTTGTTCGCCGCTTTAGACGGGAAATGCGTTCTTAGTGAGTGTTAAACAATTTAACAGCTCGCTAAGGAGCTATCCAGATGAGTAACTTCACGATGACACGTGACAGTTTTGCGTGGGATAGCGGTATTTTGCGTACTTACAAGCACTTGGGTGATTGCCTATGCGGGAAGTGTGAAAATGGCGTAGGTAGGCAAAGCTATAAACGAGCTGAAATCAATACAATCGAGATATGAGGGGTACAACGATTGTATTTTAAGGTTTCTAACGGGTTTTATTTGATTATAAAAACATTTTATGTGTAACACAAACTATGACACATAGAAGTATACATATTTTTCAATTATTCATATATTACTTCTACGAGAATTTTGTCTAAAGGGTCGATGTCTTTCAATCTAATAGCAAGATTTTTTTTCTCACGCAGAGTCTGATGGACAAAAAATACATTTTCACTTATTTTAATACAAATTTTTCTGAGCCAATACAAGCATGTCTAGGCTTAATCCAATTTTCCATACACTTGCTATAAGCCTGAACTCGGATGGTCTTCAGATGGGCTTCAGCGAATTATGGCTTTTTCAGTACCGCTCATTTTTGGAACCCCATTTGCTGAATTGTTGTACAGTTTCGGCGTCATATTCATAAGCTCACCTCTCAACACCGGTAATGATTTGTTTGATGAATAGTGGGTTCTAAGCTATGTTGCCAAGCATCTCTCTGGCGATCTCTACTCGACGTAGTTTTTGCCAAAAAGGTTTTCAGGTCTTTTAGTACGAGTCTTGCTATCTCTTTAATGCCAATATAACAATTTTTAAGCATTGTTTCTTTAACACACTTCAAAAGAATATAAAAAAAAAGATGTTATCAATCTAGAAAAMAATTTTTTAAGGACTCGCTTTGCGTGCGCAGTTTAAATGGATCAGTTCGGGTCCATTTTTCAAGAATTAATCTGGTCATGGCAGTTCATGTTCTTCAAATGGAATACCCGATGTTCTGATTTGCACAAATYATTCGTGGGATAAAGGTAAACACGTTTTTGAATAGTACCAAGGCTTGCTTAMAAAACAATCATGAATTATACATGGAGGAACTCTCAAGAGTTTAATCTGCTTGTTAGGTTAGGTTAAGTTAATTTGGTAGGTCAATTAGCCACGCATAGATCTGTTTTGGTCYTTTGCGATACCAGATGTAGTTTAGTTGCTAGGTCCAAGAGAACTAGTCATCCTTTAGGAAGTATATTCCCGCACCAATCTGTTTGTAAAAGGCAACAGATTTTGCCAAAGACGCAAAAGCAGGCAAACTTAGTCGATTTATAAATAAAATAAAGAGGATTGTTATGGTAGTTCTATAGTTTCTTCAWCTGCTTTTAGTACCCTACTCGTTACCGGCTTTATGAAGGTTAACAGATTCAGTTACCGAATCCGAAATTAAATTGTAATAAARTTTTATTAAAGAGATTGTATCTGTTTGTGGAATAGAAACGATTTTATTGAAAAGTGAGTAAGGCTTCTTGAAAAAATAAACGAGTAGAATAACATCAGGTGGCTGGTTGAGATCGTTTTACAAATTTAAGATGTGTTTGTTAAGAGACTCTTAARAACAACAGAATTGCGGAGGTGGCAAATAAAAATGCCTTAAAATAAGTAATAAGATAGGAAGATCAAAGCTCATGTCTAAGTATTCGAGTTTTGAKAAAGTGAATTTCAAACAGCACTAGAATGAATAAATGAGCTTCTTCTTCTTCTTCTTTATTGGGGTTGACACCGCTTACATGGTTATTGTCGAGTTTATAATAGCTTGCCATTCGTGAGCATACAGTTGACCARAAACCAATCAATTAATTTCGCGAGTCTAATCGAGGATCATCCGAGCGGTATGCAAACAAGGAACCGCATTCAAACTGTGTAAAGACGAAAGTGACTTTTTGTAATTTTATGACATTTATGTRTATCAATTTCTTCGACTTACTTGATGAGGGAAAGCATCGAACAGTGTTATTGGAACGTTTGAAGTATGAAAGATATGAAAAAGAGCAGAACTATTAAAGCGTTTGAAGTATGAATGGCAGCAAAAACAACAAAAAAGGAAAGCGCTATTAGGTTTTTGAAAAGAAAAATACCAATCACACCACACAATTACCAATCAAGGTGGGATAACTCTTTATCAACGAAATTGTTTTTTCAACGACTTCAACTCAACTGGACAGATTTTTTGTTTTTCTTCGATGAGAATTTGAACACATGATTGGGCAATTTCTAGTTAGTTCTTAATCCACGCGATACCGACAGCAACATAGCAAATAAGTTGACAATATAGTGAAATCTTCCATAAGCGGACAGAGCAAGACCAACCAAATCTTAATAGATTGTGATCGCCCGTTTTATAGTGCTTTCACTATATACCTAAAAAGTAGTTACTCTATAATAGATCACGCATAATTTAATATAACTGATAGCACAACATTAATATAATTGTATTCATCATGCAAACTACGACTCACTCACATTGAACGACCACAACAAAGCATGGTTCGTACGCACCGCACTTGAAATTGGACAATCTTTGAGCTTTTCCACGCTTTATCGGCGCTCACGTGCAGCGACCGACTGATTATCACAGCTGGTGCGTTAGAGAGCGTGCATGGCATATAGAATTTGATTAATGATTTTCACGTTTCTGCAGTTTTCGTTCGGAAGTTTTCGACAGGTTTTTGAGCACAAATAATTTAAAAAATTGAACTTGAGCGCGCACATTTAACATACGCTCTTGCGCTCATTGTACTCTTGCGTAGTATTTCTAATTACATGCAATAAGTGCAAAGCATTGCCAGAAATTTTAGGTAGGTTTCGGAGCGCCACAACTTGTGGTCACAATTTTTTTTTTATAGCTATTTATACAAGCTACCTTGCTTTGAGCTAGTTATTTGAGCATGTCGCACGCTCATCACTCAAAATTCACAACGACCGACTGACCCAAAGCGCGATACGTCATTTCAATTCCGTTTTAGTTTATTTCAGTTCGCTTAGACGGTCATTTAGTGCTGGTACATGCCACCGGCGCTGGTTTGTGATAGTTCGGTGCGGTTCCGTTAGCATTTTCGACGTTGGATCGTGCAGTTCTATGCGATATTTACGAGGCGGTGGAGTGTTGCGCATAAACGGTTTTGAAATTTCGTGTTTCCGTTTTTGAGGTTCAAAATTTTTTTCATTTCGTGTTARGAAGTTTTTCAGCAGCGTTCAACGACAGCGCAAATGCCTAYCTAGCTGKCYGATAGCACGCGYAAACGCAYRCACCTGCATAACTACCTGTTGTGACCTGCATGCAGCAAGTAAAAGTAGCGTTTTATTGAAATTTCCGCTGCGTCAACTTGTCTCGCTGGTGTGTCGGTGAGGCGTGCRCGCGCGTTCCCTCAACGGTTCGTCACTAATTTCGTTAGTCAGTGATTTAGTTAGTTCGTCTGATCTGTCAGCGCAGTGCTGGCGGCGGTGTGGCAGTGTGTCYAAAACGGTATTTTGAAGCGCGCGCATTCAAACGGTTTTGTAAATAAATAATTTTTTATATATGTTTATATATATTTATAAATATATTTAACTACTATARAGTGCTTAACGACGCGCAGCTATCAAAGTGCTAACGTGCAATATATACACACATATATACAAAAAAAATAAATATAAAAAAAGGTGCTGCCCTGTGTAAAGGCATACATCACGGCGACATTCTAAATTACTACAAGCGAAGTGTTATCATTGTGTGAGTATCCAGCAAGATCAGTTATAAAATATATTAAACAAGAAAAAAGTTAATTTCAGCGGCAACTAAGCTATAATACCCGTCATAGGTGCACAAGAAATTAATGTTGAACGTTTAGTTTGTATGACAGCTATATGCTATAGTTGGCCGATTCCCAACAATATATTGGAGGATTATGGAAGTGATTTGAAAAATAATCTGTGCAAAATTTTATGAAGATATCTCGACTAATGAAAAAGTTCTCCATATAAGCTCTTCATTTTCATCGATCRGTTTGTATGCCAGCTATATGTATGTTTTAGTGGTGTTTCAATTTCTTCAGTGATTGTAAGGTTGCTCTACAAAATATTTTGTGTCAAATTTTGTGAAAGTACCTTAGATAAAAAAAGTTTTCCATACAAGAACTTCATTTTCATCGATCAGCTTATATGGCAGTATAAGCTGTAGTCGTTCGATCTCAAAAATTTCTTCGGAGATAACATGTTTGCTGTGCAGAATGATTTGTTTCATGAAGGTATCTCCTCAGATAAAAAAGTTTTCAATACAAGAACTTGATTCTGATCAGTTTGTATGACAGCTATATGCTATAATTGCCCAATTTCAAAAATATATTCGGAGATTTCGAGGGGGTAGACTCGCACAATAATTTGTGTTAAATTTCGTAAAGATGTCTAGTGAGATAAAAAAGGTTTCCATATAAGCACTTGATTTTGATCGGCTAGTTTGTATGGCAGCGATATAGTGATCCAATGTCCGTGGTTTCGACAGATGATTAGCTCTTTAAGGAGAAAAAGATGTGTGCATAATTTTAGATCGATATCTAGAAAACCGAGCGACTAGCTTGTGTTACACTTGATATATTTATGGAGGAACAAAATTTGTGGCGTGGCCGACGCTTACTTCGGCATATTACAAACTTAGTGGCAAACATAATATACCCTGCTCAGTGTATAAAATTTCAAAATTTTATACTATATGCTTGTTTATCTACCGTTATATCTACATATTGACAATGTGGCATAGTCCTTATACATGGATATGTAAATGAATGATGATATACTATATATACGTATATATATTATACCTATCGTCACCTAAAATGCCAAACGAGATATAATAACCAATATATAACCATTTTATAACGAAAACTCAAATTTTGTTTCAATGTGAGTGTATGCTAACCAACATATAACCAATACATAACCATTTTATAACCAAAACTAAAATTATGTTTCAATATAAGTGGTTTCTGTTATAGCGTTTTTCCTGCGCCTGAAAACTCATGAAAAGTGGTGATGAATTTTAACCTACCGCTGTCAGATATAACCAATATATTACCAATATATAACCAATGTATAACCAATATATAACCCTTATATGACCAATATATAACCAATGTATAACCATTTTATAACCAAAATAAAAGAGTCTATTAAATCGTTTTTCTTGCGCCTGTAAACTTCTAATAAATGATGTTACGCTATTTTGCATTTTAGGTGAGGTTATATACATTTATACATATATMCATACATACAAGTATATACTAAAAGTATATATAATGCTTTGCTGTGATTCTTAAACTTATCATTGTTATGTTGTTGCTTTCGCTTTTATCGCTATGTATATTGGGCTCTGATTGTTGTTGTTATTCTGCGCGTTGTTGCTGCTGATGACGGTGATTATTCAATTGTCCCGAAACCAGAAGAGTTTTCTGCACTAATTGAACAACAAGGTATATACTACATACAAGCACACATACATATGCACATACACACACATATGTGCATACTTAGAAATATACATACATATGTGCTATAGCGCTTAYTAGCACACAGATATGCATGTATATGAGTGTAAAAAAAAGAGAAGCGCGCTAGTGAGTTGGGGTAGCTTGAGCTATCGCCGCCACCAGCCCGGCGCACGTTCACTTGGYTAGGCAGTTAGTTAATCTGCATATATTACATTTCATAGAGTCACCGCGCGGCTTCTAATGCCTGTGTAAATGCAACATTTTGTAYGCGTTTGTATGTATGTTTGTGTATGGTATATGTTCTATACAATAATAATCTCTGTTTGTATGTATGTGTGTGGCTGCCGCATAAATTGATATGTTTTCGTGCAGAAAGTGCGAAGTTTCTAAACGCGAATGGGGAGTAAAGCGTTTATGTTAGTACAAAAGCACAATGAAAATACATACACATGTACATATGTACATACATATGCATATAGTATGCATGAAAGGAATGTGGCATCAGTCGCATAAAAGTGAAACCGTTTTCGTTGTTAGAAAAATATATAAATAAATATATTGAAATAATTGTGAGGCTATGGTGTGTGTGTAGGCATAGGGTGGCTCTTAGATGTAGGGGTGTGAGGAACTTTTAATATAATTCAATAGTTCAAATAAAAATAAGCGACAGGTGACTGAGTTTCGGGAATATGGTTAAAGCGACTGAGTCTCATCAAAATCATTCTATGATCATGTAGTACTTAGATTATTTTATTACCAGGTGGTGAGTCTATTTTTCGAGGGTTTAGTCATGGCTGAAAATTAAACAAATAAATTTTGTAGTTTATATTAAAAATTTAGCACCCTGCCATTAAAGATATTTATTAAAACCAAGAAAAATCACAAATTTCAGCTACAACGAAGCTTTAATACACTTTACAKCTGTTTTATTTATAAATTAAAGGGTATAAAAAAAATTTTTTTTGTTGATTTTTTGATTGATAAGCTTGTGCAGCGATATACATATATACACATATGCCATCCTAGTCTGAATTGTATGTATATGTATTTCTTCGAAGATTGTGCCGTGAGCTAAGACAGTAGTTTATGTGTCCACGGCAGCCGGGTCTAAGTAACTGGAACGGACYAGTTTTTTTACGAGTATTCAGCCAAGGCTTACTGAACACAACACCATTCCCCGAAATTGCTTCAAGAATGCTTTCTGCCGCYACAACAAMAATAATTTATGTTCTAYTTCTTGAATATATATTATTATTTTTTATACAATTACTTGATTTTGAACTTCAGTTCATATGACAGCTATATCCAATTGTGATCTGAGCCCTCAAATTAACCGCTAAGTCGGTTCAGCTCGAAACGCTGATCATTTACACAGTAAATATTAGGGTGGGCCAAAAAAAAACAATAATTATTTTTTCGCTTTTTGTGAACCGAGTCCACAAATTAACCGCTAAGTCGGCTTAGCTCGAAGCTCTGATAATTAACTTATTTATATAATAGGGTGGGTCAAAAAACCCCGACAATATTTTTTTCGCTTCTTGTGATCCGAGTCCCCAAATTAACAGCTAAGCTCGAAATGCTAACAATTTTTTTATATAGATTAGGGTGGGGCAAAAACATTCAATTAATTTTTCCTCGCTTTTTACTCTGAAAAAAAATGTTCTTAGACACAGCTAGGAAAGCACCTTCAAGTATAAGCCTAAATTGAAACGGGGAGGATCTTTCTTCTTGAAGATTTCCAAATTTGTCAAAAAAAATTTTATATTATAAAAAAAACTCGCATTCTCGTAGTTGCAATAAATAATATCGTGTCTTAGGTTTTGTAGGAAATTAATTTCTCTACAAAATATTTCTCGAACGATTTTTTCGTAAACCYAACCGTTTAAAAKATATTAACAGTTAACTCTTTGATTATTTTAAGGTGAATTTATTTATATTCTAATGCATTTTTAAACCCACCAAAAAAAATTTAAAATGCAAATCTAACACCCACCCTAATGTATATGCTTTTTATAAGATCTCCAACATTTCATACTGAATGTTACAAATTTCATGACAAACTTATATTGAAAATCTCACAATTAAAAGAAAAGCATTTTAATTTGCAAATCTGACACCCACCCTAATGTATATATTTTTATAAAGCCTCCAAACTTTCTTTATGGGTGTTATAAACTTCATGACATACTTACATACCCTGTTCAGGGTATAACAAATTTATACATATAGTGAATTAGAAAAAAAAAGTATTTAATTATATTTACCATAACAATATAATTTTGGAAATTTTCTTAACTTTAATTCCCTTTTTTTTTTKTTGTTTATTATTGCATAATACTTATTATTACAGTTGTCTTTAGAACAAAATATTATATAACGAGCCGACTCGATGCTTACATCTGCGAAGAAAATTTACGAAACAAATTCGTGTCTAACGTAGCCAATCAATCAGTATTCTACTACGTTACACCTAAAGAACTTATAGCCATGCAAATTCGTAACATCATAACTAATGGAGAAATTTCGAACGCTCATTACATTATATATAAATAATAATAATAAATCTTACTGTGAAGTAAATAATATTTTTTCTTTAATTTTGTTTCAATATGAATGTATGATAACTAATATATGTATGTACATCACCATTTTATAACCAAAAATAAAATTATCTTTCAAAATCAGTGGTTTATATTATATCGTTTTTCCTTCGCTTGAAAACTTATGAAAAGTTATGTTACGTTGTTTTGCATTTCAGTGACCATATATGTATACTCGCAAAACTAAAAAAAAAAATAGAATGCTTAATTATTGCACTAACACTACGTCGAATAACGTGACCAATTGCTTTTATGCAATTCAAATCATGCACTTACACGTGCTTATATATACCTATAAATTAAAGAATTGCCAAAATACCACAAATAGTTTGCATATTTTCGYACAAAAAATACATACAAACAWGCATACATACATATGTTAAATGCAWTTAGTGAGTTTAAGTGCCAAGCGCCTATTTTCATGCTAAACAATCTTCAAAACTAACAAAATGTGCCAACGTCACACATGTGACCATGAAACAGCGAAAATGCAAGATTTCCGATTAAAGAAAGAAAACAATATGATAAAGTTAGATAAAAGCCGGTAAACATGTACATACATACATGTGGATCGAAAAAACTAGTGTTGCAACAAAAACACAAACACAAATCTGAAAGTATTTTTCCGAAACAAAGTATGTACGGACATA